ATGTGTCTTTTGCCATTTCATTTTAAATATAGGGCTAGGTAGGCCGGTAGCATACTTTCTTCTGTGTGAATGTATGATTAGATTGTAAGTAGATAGGGGCCGGGACAGGCTATCAGAGTATTTGATCGGGTAGGCTCCCCCATTCCGCGTGATAATCCTGCTACTGGGATAATTTGTAGTGTCGACTCGAAACTGGTCCAGACGGAGCATGCTGTCTGCTTCTAGTTTCGACTTCGATTCTTCAAATTGGTCAAATAGTTGTCTCGCGGTCGCGGTCGGAAGGACAGGACCGTCGAAACGAACGAATTGCTCGATTGCACTCGTGGTACGATCATACAGACTCTTGGAGTCGGTGGTCGTCCACAACTAAGCAGCTTGAGGGTTTCAGGTGGGTGGACTGCCGAAGAAAAGAAGAGGCTATAGGCCGAAGAGGCCTGACATAAATTGTGTCATTGAAAAGGGCAACTATTAATGGCTCCGCATCTTTGGATGGGGAGTCATTTTGTTACTACTTTGTCACTGTACTCGCCTGTAGTTGTAGTGGTAGTTTGTATTGTGGTCGACGGATCGGCCCAACCACCAGTAGTAGTAGGCAAATCCTGGTTTGAATTACTGTTGCGGATGAGACGAGATCACGGTTTGCATTGGATTGTAAATTTTCAATACAGATCATCCTAGTTGCTTAGAGAATAGTGTTGCGAAAAATCAGATCGTGTTCCCTTTGAGATTGTTTTTATATTTCACAATAGTGTTGCGATAATGACTGTGCGCGATTGAAGTTATTATTTTCTTAATTGGTGTTGCGATACAGATTGGTCGCGTTTGGCTTAGTCTTGCGATCTATCGGATGCCTAAAACCATTCTGGCACCATCGGAACCACAAAGCAAAAGTGTTCCGTATTATGAGACCAAGGTGCACGGGAGTTATTTCATTAGGTATTTAGTAAATCAGTGTAGCGAACAACATGCACCTCTCGCGTTTTTCAACATTCTCCCGACAATTTATTAATATTAGACGATTAATGTTGCCCACCTTAAGAGTGATACTTTTTTTCAGCGAACTTTCTGTTTCAGGAATCGTCGTGGGATTAAATTTCTAATTTATCTAAATAAAATATCTATAAAACCGTATTATTCTACCCTTTTATATTTAATATATGTTAACACATTTTTTTAGTGTCCGCCTCACGAACCATTGGATGATCTACTTAAGCTTCGCTACTTTTAACTTAGGTCCAGATTTGGAGATATCTCTTCGTGTGAACATCATTTCAACATTTCTTTTCCCTTGAAGATCATGAGAAGATTTTTGTTCGTCCGAATATCACATGGAAATTTCTCCTCACAGGACGACCAGCATTAAGCTGTATGGACTTAAAAAATCACTTGTTTTGTTGCACACGCGTTAATCGAATGATAGGCGGTGTTCTTCTGGCAATGAATCGTGACAATCGCTATATGTTTGTTATATGTTTGTCTGTTTACATAACTAATAACTACTTATATTGAATATGAATTAAGCATGATACGAAATGTAGTTGATTATAACTGGACTGCAGATTTTATGCATTTATAGCCTATAGGTGTTTGTGAAATACAATGAAGGATAAAAGTTTCGTCAAATGCAACGGGTTTTCTATTTTCTTTCGAATCCAATATGATACTTAAGGGGAGAAAGAACTTCCTACTTTTGTTTTTGTCTTTATGAAGAACCTTTTAAAATGTGATTTTGCATAAAAATCCGCAGTCTAATTATAACTAAAAATATCTAAAACCATTGAAGCATTGTATTAAGACAATAATATATGTATATACCATATACCACACACCGCACTTTCTGTAATGAATAGTATGCGATTTAAACGCGACACCGTATGTATTGCGTCATGGACGACCTGGACGACGGAGTGGGGTGCGTGCACGTGTGTGAGAATTATGTACGTGTGAGCAAGGGTTGTTCCTAGTTATCAATTAACGTACCGACAATTATCGAGCGTCTGCTGTGCAGTAGCCGTTCGTTTATTGTATAGTTTGGGGCTGTAGAGGGCCAGAACAATTTTTTCGTAAGTGGTGGATCCTTATAGTTTTCAAGGTTAATTATCTTTTCTCTTTAATGATACTAAAACATTGTGGAATAAAAATGTTTTTTTTTTACGTAAATGGATTTTTCTAAACATTTTGTATAATAAAATATTAAGCTATTATGTGCAAAAAGTTAATAATTCGTGAGATATTTTATGTACAAAATAGGGAAGTCACTAATTGTTAATTTTTTCTCGACCTATAACAAAATTATTTCTGCTTTGGTATGTTCCTTCTGATACCATATAACTTTTGGGAATAAACTTTTCTTTATATCTGTAGAAATAATGGAGGTAACTAAAGTGATCAACGTTGCTGGACTGTTTTTTATAATGTACGTATGATTGAACAGTAGTTTCATTTATTCTTCTTTACTGAAAACATTGTAATAAATAATATGGATAAAATTGTGATGTACAAAATGATCAAAATTATTGAACCATTTCTTACAATGCACATATGTATGAACAGTAGTTTCATTTATTCTTCTATATTGAAAAGAATGTAATGAATAATGTGTAAAAAATTGTGACGTACTATTGATAACACTTTTATTTTCTCGTAATATTAATAAGGCGAAGAATTCATCGTGTTCATGAACTGATTTGTTCTATGAAATTTTTTTGTAATTCCTGTAATCTTCCAGATAAAAGAACCATGTAATTTTATCGGCTGGCTATTTATCTTGAACAGATACTAATAGCGTTGAATTACTTAACTGGCTGCGATAAACTAGGAAAAGTATGAGGACACGCTTAATTACTGACGAAGTAAATTCCTGATAAGGGGAACACAGGATCAGTACGGCGACAGAATTAAGAAATGTGTAAGTAGGTACATTTCTGTACCTACAAACACAAAAAAGACAAACTGTGATACATTGAAGAGCTACCACAAGAATCTCTTATGACATAATTGTAACGATTTTAACTCAGATTATTTTCCTGGAAATACTACAAAAATACATTTTCCTAAAAGTCTTTCTAACAAAAATATAATTTACTCCTTTTGAAAAATTCTTTATAAGATTTTCGAACGCATGTATTTCAGCTTATTCTAAAGATCAATTTATCATTTTTTTTTTAACTTTTTACTGAAGTAGGTAACCGTAATAGTGCTATGAATAACCATCGTCGACGATACAATGAAGTATCCAGGGAGGAGCAGCGATAATTCAGTTTGTTAATCATTTTCACCAGTTTCTAGCATTCACTTCGTGATACTGTCAATTATAGAAGAAAGTAAAGCACAGGAAATTCAGTGTACGGTAATTTCTTATCACACACCAACCAAATGACGATAAGAACTAATATATGCACATAAAACGCACTAACCGTTTCATAATCGGATGTTACTCTCTGTCTTTACTAATATATTTTATTATTTAATTAAATTATTCTTTACATTATTATTTAAGTATAAATTTCTTGACGAATTCGTTCTACGTTACAACATTTACGACTATTTTGTGAAACTTCAACATTCTCAATCGTAAGACATTAATCATTTTCTTGTCAAAGTTGAATTTTAAAGTAAAAAGAAACTTTCGAAATAGGATGTTTAATAATTACAGCCAAGTAATCTAAATATGCTGATTATCTTGTCGTAAAGGCTACATACAAAGGTTGTTGTCTTGAAAAATGTAATAAAGATATTTTACTTGATATCTGTTCGAATAACACACTCACATTGTTAATTGAGACAAAAACTGGAAGCTCAGAGATACCGATCTTAATACGGTACAAGTTCGTAAAAAGTAATAAAATTCAATGCAGCTGTAAATATTAATTTCAGTTCTTTGTCAATTCGGTTGTGCGCATGGAGTCCATAAATAATTGACTTTTATAAATATCCTTCGATTAAGGAATTGTGATAAATTAGGAAAAAACATTTCGCTATAGTATAACAGATACAACGTACTTCAAATTACTGATGCGAAAGGTTATAGTTATATGTATAGTTACTTGTAACGTATCGATATTACTGTTTATATAATGATGGAAAAGTCTCCGGTGATTGAGACACACGTCGAAGTTACGCAATATAGGGAAATGCCTTTTTAATCGATTGAATAAACATAAAAAATTATACTTTAATTTCTTTGAATTATGGTATTTTTAATATTAAATACAAGCTTCTTTGCTGAAAATATAAGACTGCTGTATTATTTAATTACAATGATTTACATTACTTATTATATATTTCATATGATAGAGTCGCCAATTCCGGTTTTTAATTAAAATTTATAAAAATTAACTTATACATGAAATTCATTTAACTTAATTATAGATGCAGCTCAACTTTTGCCACCACAGAAATTAAGTTCTTACTCTTTCTAGCTCGTAAATCAAACTTACTTGTATATTCTAATTTTCATCGTCAATCATTATTAATATTGACATATCCCTCTTCATACAAGTTAGTAATGATTATAAAAGATAATTCGTGACTAAACCTAGTGAAAGTTACATAACTATACATTACATTATGAAGTAAAATATAAAAAAACAATTACACATGAATTGGTGTTTTCATTTTTTATTAATTTTTTTTTATATACATGAGGTTTATTATAACAGTTCTCACAATAATAACAGAGATTACAAGTTTTAAGGTATACAATTATATCAGTCACCTTTAAATATTTTTCAGTAATACAAGAATATTTGCAACAGTGATTTACAAATAATTATGCGGAAAATGTTATACGTTTACTATTTTATATGAGGGTAATGACTAATATTGAGAAAGTTGTTCGATAGAAGTAATTTTCTGTACTAATTCCGATAACACGTGGTTGGTGTTGCATAATTTTCGATGTTGGTTAATGTGCAGCTCGCGGCAACTTCATGGATCATTAAAAACAGTTAAAACCGGCTGTAATTTTCTTCTGTCGCAACGGATGAAGTGAAACTCACCATTTTCCTGACCACATTCTAAAAACGATACCAACACGCATTCCCATGGAAACGTGTTCATGTCGACAGAATTTTCTGCACCCGTTGAATAAAGTAATAAATGAGAAATTTAGAATGAATTGACTTGATTATAGAGGTTTATCTTGTTCATTACACTTAACATTATATTATAAAATGATCCAATGTTACAGTTTTATGGTCATGAAATGCGATTAAAATTATATTCTCTGTAACATGTTTATGATGCAGGACCATCGTATTTTCAATATGAACGCTGTTTTTGCATCAAAATTAAAGTCAGTATACCTGTTTCTGTTTTCGGGAACTGGTTACTCATTCCACACCCTTCTATAGTTTCACCAGATACGCACTGTCCCTCCATTTTAACAACACGCTATTATAAAAATATTTATCCGATTATTATGCACAATAATAAAAAGTATTAACTATGGACTGCGATGAACGTTTAAGTTAGTACATAGCTTCTTAATTTTCTATCACTCGTGGCTAAGTATGGTAGAGATAGTTAGTTTTGACGAGGAACATTCACAAGTATCTCACACTTTAAGTATATTGGTCATAATTAGACTACGGATTGTATACATCTATAGCATGCGTGACTACCTAAAACTCAATACAACCAAACTATTTAATAACATTTAATCAGATTTTTATTTCATTTGCAGGCAAATAGAAACTTTAATAGAATAAACAAGCTTTTCTTGGATTCCAGGTTCTGCTGATTAAGTCCTGTTTATTTGCATAAACATTCGCGCTTCAGTGATAAAAAAAACACAGGAATTTTCATAATTTCATCGATTAGATAGATCATCAATCAGTTGATGAAATTGTACGAGGTGTTGAATCATCGGGTCGATTCAAATCACTATGCCCGCGCGATGCAACCACATGTGTATTTCGGGGCAAGAAGCACATGGCATCGCATGCCACGAGCCGCGAGACGCTTGTATGTATCTACATATAATGCACTATGCCAACACTGACTTTACGTACGTCGCGATTTCATCAGAAACGAAATTCAAACCAGTAGAACGCAGTGAGCCAGTGGGAACTCGATCGCAGACGTTCTAAATAAAAAAAGCATGCCAGTAGCTTCCGTTCAGCTTGAACAGTTCCATCTCGAATTCGAAAACTTAATTTTTTTTTCGAAAGTTTGATAAATTGATATACATTTTTCTCAATAGACAAAAAATATAATATAAATATAAGAATTAAATATAAAAAGTTTATGAGAGAAATTGTAAATTTAAAATATAATTTTAATTCTACATGCATACGATAATACAGTTTGTGAAATTTGTTTATATTACTCCAATAAATATTATATAAAATGTTTATTTCATTAGTATCAAAAATTTGGTTTAAATTGCTTTTGATTACGACATAATTTTAATTCATTGAAAACAATATCGAGTACTTCTTACACACGTGAAACGAAAGTTCTTGTTCGTAGTAGAAATTAACGGTCTCCTAATCATGAAATAAAATACTTCTTTTCAATTGTTTCACGGCTGATTCATTATTTGTTTACCAGAATTCGATTGAGAAGCCTTGAACTCATAACGAATTGCACAAGATAACAAATTAATAACACTTAAGGAACTTTTAATTAATTAAGAATCGTTCTTCTGGAATCGGGGGAAAACACTGGCAATGTATTACTTTATGACAGCTTTATGGGAATATAATAGCCAGCAAGAATACATTATTACCTAATTGTACCCAATAAATAAATTAAGTAAACTAATACCGTAAATTTAATCGATACAAATTTTATATTATGTATGACATATTCACGTGTGATAAAGATAATGTATCAAAACTAACGACAAGGATTAACTAACATTGTCTATTATTGGTACTCTAATAGAATCTTTGTTGATAAAATAAATTTTTGTTTCACTGTTGTTTTTATAATATAATAATATGAAAATGACTATTACCGTAAACAAACGTAATCTGATAATAAATCTGTCTGTATACATATTACATAATATTATATAATAATAAAATGACACTAATGTTATGGTATCATATCATTATCAGTTCACAACCCCTTACAAGTTGTAGATGCTTATGTAGTTTACGCACGAGGTTCTAAAGATAAGCATTGTACAAATATAATAGTAATACCTTTATAATTAATTTAACACCGTTAAATAACTTAGACAATCTGATATTGGGTTGGGAAAGAATAAAATGTTGAAGAAAACAAACAAGGAAGAAAGTCAATTTAAATTTAATAATTCTTACAAATATATTTAACATATTTTAAAATCATTTTAACAGATTTATAAATCTGTTAAAATGAAATTCAAACCAGTAGAACGCAGATTTATAAATCTGTAAAAAATTACAAATTTCATCTTAATTTTGACATTAAACTAAAAACACATTCATTTATAGATGGTTAGGAATACGTTTAACAACAGGAAATTTTGTCACTCATTTCTTTTCCTTATTATCTTATTTTATAATATTACAGGTTTTTAGTCTATTTATGTTTCCTTCATATACAGGGTAGTCCACACAACTGTTAAAGTCGTACCTTTTTTCTTGGTTTTCTCTTGTCATTCTGCGTAAAAAAATATTGCGTAAAGGGGTCAACAAATAATTTATTCACGAGATATTATTTAAAAAATTAGATATAGTTATGTTCTATAAATCCTTCAGAAAATCTAACAGAACAGATACGACTACACTGTACAACAATACCCAGGAATCATTTTAATTCAGTTATGAAAACAATTTGAAAAAGTTAAAAATATGTACAGGGTGTATTTTCTAAGATGAACCACCATTTTTCAGGCATTTCCAGTAATCTGCCAAAGAAATGTTTTGAACAAAAATTAGCCACCCTTCGGTCTGCTACATATTTGGATATTAAAAATTTCCAACAAATGTTTCCAATAAAACGTCAAATTATATATTAAATATTGTATAATAGTGATTAATTATTATTATTCTCATTAATGCAAGAAGTCCTATTCGACTAGTTGTCACATTTTTTAGGCACACCGTGCATTGTAGCGAGTCTGACCCCAGAAAGAAATGTTTCCCGCATTTACGTAAGCCACTGATCGGAGGAGAAGCTGGTCACAGACATTTTCACAAGCAGTTTGCTTTCGGGTGGACAGTATCCATTCAACGTTCGACTGAGTCGCATCGGGATTAGCCTCCCTTGAATACATCGTGCTCAGTGACCTACAGACAGCTAAACCTTCACGACGATAATCATTCTCATCGTATTATTGTTTGCTTCTTTAAACTCGATTGATAGGAGTAGAGAAAGTTACGAATAGCATTCAAATACCGCGCTTAATTAAATGCTCGGCAAGTTTCTTCGATTGGTTTCTATTTAATCGCATTTTCCTTGTGCAAGTGAAAAACAGGAAACGAACTGACGTCTGTATATACCTGCTTGATGTACGTAGCATTGTTCACTATTTTCAATGTTTCTTTCCTTGTTTTTACAACTTCATGATTTTTTTTCAATTACACTTGATGTTTTTAACATTTTTGTTATTTTATAGTCCCATACTGATGTAACAACCTTTTTTTTTAGAAAATGATTTACTGCTCATATTGCTAAATGATATACAAAATCGGGTGCGTGAAATTATGGGGTAATAAAGAAGACATTCTAATTCTTTCGTGGAAACAGAAAAACAATGATTAATCAGACGGTTCGGAATTGTTTTATAATTTTTCAATAATTATACCTTTTCGTATATTTCCATGACTGAGATATCTAATGCATACATACGCATATATTTCACAATTAATTACAGGAAGAAGTTTAATATTTTAAGGTGGGTAACGTAGCATTGTCACGTTTGTAAATGTACTTATTTCCTTCTTACATGATTCATTCGTTCAACTGTTTATTAATTGTTTTAATAGATTTTTCGCTACTTATAGAACACACCAAATTTGTACCTTTTGTGCTATGATAATCAATCTTCATGCATATTATTAGATACATAAATAAGTTATACATCATTTTTTCATAAAATTACAATATAATTTGAATTAAGTGTAACGTCTTCACCATTGAGCTTGATAAAAATGTAATAAGACTTTGGAGAACAATGACGAAGACTGTTAAGGGGCCATGTTTTTGATTTTTTTGAATTTAAATATTAAATTTGCAAAAAAATAGTGATTTACTCTTTGGTACACCTAATAAATCATTGATATCGGCCATTTGGTAAACGTTAGAAATACATTTTCAATCAATCGATGTCACATCAATTAAACTATTCCTCGTAATAGTGTATGGCTGCTGAAATTTTTTTAGTGATTTATTAACTACGAGATTCTAAAACGTAATTTTACAGTACCAACTGAAGGAGTATAATTTCTATAAAGCGTAGCATAATGTACCGACAGTGTGTTAATATCAATCTGAAAAAATATTCAGTCACTTTCACTATAAATCAATCATGGTAGTGGTTGCTTCAATGTTTTACGTTTGTTATTGGTTTTTTTGTGGCATGCAACGTAAATTCCCTAAATTAATGTGATTCCTATGGTTCTGTCAATTTGTATTGAAATTCTTAACAAAATTACAAGTAAAAAGTAAAATTTTTTATGAACAATAATTTTTTACTTGCCTTCTTTATTCCTTTATGTCTATCTTTTTCGTTTCTTCTTGGGGCAGTTTTATCTATTGGAGATTAAATTTTTATTAAATTTAATACATTTAGTTATGTCAGTTTGTGCAACCCTTATGAGGTTCACAGTAAGCTAAATTTATTCTAACATTGACCTCAGAGAAGATGGCTGTTATTTTCCACGACATTTTATTTCTTCGACAATTTGTCTGCGCCTTTCACATAAAAACTTTCCTTTATTCATTAAGACGTAAATGGAGAAAAAAGTGAACTTCTCAGAAAACACAATTTGGCAATCTTCATTATACTATAATTGTCTTACTTGACAAGCAGTACTTGATTAAATTGACTTCTTCCAAACTAGTACTTTTAATTGGTTTCTTAATTATTCATTTTTAACGAATGAACTAAAGTATGCGTCTAATCGATGAACACGTGTTACTCAATAATTATCACGACAAAGTGTCTTAAGAAACGAAAATTAAAGTGCAATTTAAAATTGAAAACACCAATTGGAGTTGTAATATTGTGTATCACTTGGTAATGTTACTCTTGATAGTAGAGCTCTATAGTGAACGTACTCTCTAAAGTAATTCGTCAATATTTCCCACTTCTACTTTCAAGACTAAAACTCAAAAGAATTTACTCTCAAGTGAAGCCAGAGCAAAAACTGGCGCAAGAGTGACTCATAATAATAATTCTAATTTGGACGCGTAGCGTCAACAGAAGACACGGAAAAAGTATAGCAATTTTCATTTCAACAGATTCTAAGGAATTTCTCATAATCAACATGCCGAGTAGCAAGACCAGAATTGCCGTAATTGGTGGCGGTGTAGCTGGATTGGTGGTAGCTCGTCACACAATCACCAAGTTGGACACTTTCAGTTTCACTTTGTTCGAGCAAACCGATCAGATTGGCGGGACATGGGTTTACACTGACGAAACCAACACCGACAAACATGGATTACCGGTTCATAGTAGCATGTACAAGAACTTGAGGTCAGTGTGAAATTTCCTTTAGCTTATTCCCCTCAGACATTTTAATACGTGGATAATAATTGTATGCTAGTGTAAAATTACATTTAGTAGTTTAGACTGAAAATCGGCACACTTTCGTTTTTTTGTAGCAATGAACTCAGATAAGGTGGTTTAAATAGATCAATAGTAATGTCTACATAGAGAGAGAGACAGTATTTGGGTAATTCTAACATGAAAATGAAATAACTGTATTTACTTTATACAGCAGAACCTCTATTATCTTTGAATATGTAGCTACTATTTATTCAAGCATCGCTTAATACAATTGTCGATTATCCAAACTATGTCTTATGGTATTATACATCTTAATATTGAAAGTTGCGCATATACACATGACGCTGACCATTTATGCTAACAATAGATTCATTACTTATTTATAGATTCATATTAAATAGTATTCTATGGTACAAAATGTATTTACTAGAGAAGAGTACTTACAGCAAGAATAAAAAACAAATAAAGGAAAATACATTTTGCTGATACACACCAAGTCATTCTTAAATATGTTGTTTTTAGAAATAATGTTCCATTTGAGAAATCAGAATAGAAATTAAATAAAATAATTAAACTTTTTATATAATAAATATTTACCTTTGCAACAGAAATCATCGTTTGGGTATCCTAACATTGTTTTGCTTGCGTAATTACTTCATTTAATCGAGATTTTGGACGATTAGTGATTGCTACACTAAATGTTTATAAATGCTTATAATTTTTAGGATGTTAATTTACAAAAAGAAAAGTTAGGAACAAATTAATAACATTATTAAGGGTTTTGTCAATTTAAAATGTGTCCACGAATAAAAATGTTTGAA